TGACCTTATGGGGTCTTTGCAGATGTAATCAAGTTAAGATGAGGTCGCTGGGGAAGACAGCCATGTGAAGTTGGACTTAAATTGCCACAAACCAAGGAACATCTGGGGCTGCCAGAAGCTAGAAGAGGCTTTAGAGGGAGAGGCCCTGTTGACATCTTGACTTCAGACACCTGGCCTCCAGAGAGAATACATTGTTGTTATTTTAAGCTACCAGTGTTGTGGTAGTTTGTTAGAGCAGCCCTAGGAAACTAATACACCCCTGCGATGGTTAATTTTATGTGTTAACCAAGCCATGGTGCCCAGATGTTTGGCGAAACACCAATATAGATGTTGCTGTGAAGGTATTTTTTAGGTGTGATTAGCATTTCAATCAGTAGCCTTTGAGTAGAGCAGATTGCCCTCCATAAAGTGGGTGAGCCTCATTCAATCAGTTGAAGGCCTTTAGAGAAGACTGGTGTCACCAAGGAAGAAAGCATTCTGCCTCCATACTGTCCCCAGACTCAAGCCATAGCATCAGCTCTTCCCTGGGTCTCCAGCCTTGGCCTGCCCTGCAGCGTTTGGACTTGCAAACCTCCTAATTGCATGAACGGATTCCTTAATATATATACCCTTCCATGTATGTATCCTATTGGCTGTTTCTCTGGAGGACCCCGACTAACCCAGCCCATCATTCAGAAACCTTCCACACTTCCTCGGAGTGGGGCCTGGGGTTCCCGCAGGCTTTCTCCCCTGACCCATGTGGGCAGCACACCCACCCTGGCTGCGCTTTCTCCTGCCAGCACCCCCGCATCGCACCTTGTGGCTCATCCCTGCTGTGTGTCCCATCCGCGCACCAGCTGTGCAGGAGGCCTTTCTGTGGCACACACGTTAGGCACAGGGGCTGCTGCTCTCTGACTGGGATGTGGACAGTGCAGAGCATGGCAACAGCCTTCATCCCACCAACTGCCCGGGCACCTGGGGTGGGACCGAAGCTTGGACTCAGGATCTCGCACATAGGGGCGCCAAGACGCAGTGAGTGCCTCACTTTCAGGTGTCTCCCCTGGCTCAGGACGGCCTGAAACTCCTGAAGTTTCCCGGCCTGATGGGCAGCCTAAGTGGACATGTGAGTGTGCTCACAGGTGGGTGTGGCCACACGGGCTCACCCTGAGAAGATGTGGACATGGGACAGGAGCCAGGGAAATGCAGCTCGGTCTAGGGAACCCCAGGGATCCAGGGAGCACGAGTCTGAAACTCCGCCCAGGGCAGGGATTCAGACTTACACCCACACCCAGGTGCACCTCCTGGGCCTTCAGTTCCCCATCTCTGCCCTCCCTGCGGGCCTGACTCCCCAGGATGGCCCTGCCTTGCCCCAGGCCACAGTGTTCAGAGTGGCAGGACCCTCTCCCCACTGCCTACCAGGGCCTGGAGCTGGGATTTGAGCAACCAGATGAGCAGTCATTTCCCTTAAATATGTTCAAGGGCTCCAGAGACATGTCTAGCCCTTTCTAGGCACTTGGGCCCTGTTTTGACCCCTGTCGGTGTCACCTGTCTACACAAACTGGCACCAAGGAGTTGGAGTTTTTGAGTTGAACCCGGCGAGCCTCCCGCCTCCTCTCCCACCGCTCACCTGCCAGTGAGGCCCCCTCCCAGCGCCGCTCCAGGCCAGGCTGCACCGCCTAATCCTAAGCACTGGCTCTGCACACCCCGTCAGCCTGTGCCTCCCCTCGGCAGGCACCCGGGGAGCTTTTCAGCCGAACCCTCGGAAGAAGACCCGTGAAGAGCTCACCGTGTGGAACCCACTTGACAGTCCCCATAACTCACGCCTTGTTTGCTCTCACCGGCGCTAACTCTTATTGTATCGTGCGTATTCTAACTGCTCTGCGTATGTCATCTGTCCAGAAAGAGAAAGTGGTGGTTTATTTTTTATCCAAGTGCAGGGGGATTGTTAATGTTTTATTGAAAAGAGGGGACGGTAACTCAGATATTGCAAGTGGAGTGTACATGACTGCCTTGGGAGTCCCCTGTCCCTGGGGGGGGGGGGGTGATGGGGAATGTGTGTGGCAGCATTGGCATTGGGTGGACACGGAGGCAAGGGGTCATGGCTTGTGTTGCTCAGAAAACCTAGTTTTACCTAGATTGTGTACTTATTTCGGGGTTTAGGGGGGATGATCATGATTATATTGAGGCCAGGGCCCCCGGTTCCGTAAGTCTCCCCTGGCACCAATTCTGCTGGCTCTCAGTGACAATACTGTACCTTCCTTGTGGGTGCAGCAAAGGCAACACCGTCTTCCCGGGCTCTCCATGGAGCTGTCCGGGGTCCTGAAGTGTAGCCCACGGGGGGGGGGAACACAGACCCCAGTGTCAGGATCCCAAGGTCCTGGCCTTCCCTCGTTCAGAGCTGGGTGGTCTTTGCTTCAGCCTTTATGCAGTCCGTGTGTGGAAGAGCAGCGTCCTCCATGGGGAAAGGAGCGCGGGACCTCTGCCAGGGGGAGAGCCCATTACATTTCCTTTGTTAAAATTCTGCCTTTATTCCAAAGGGCCAGTCTTTGTCCAGCAAGTTGCCATAAGTTTAAGGGTTTGGAGCATAGAGCTTGTGGCAAATATAGTCCCCCCACAGGATCTGTTGTTGGGTTTTCCACAGACAGTTTTTCTTTACAAAGGAGGCAATTGCAGCCAGGTTGGCTGTGTTAAACAAAAGTGGCCAAAGGTCAGGAGACTCCCCCAGAGCCAGGCTCTGTCCAGCTAGAACTTTTTCTCCAGCCTATGCCCAGGGCTCTGGCCCTACCAGCCTCCGAGTGGGCCAAGCTCGGACACCCCTGTCCAGTCTGCACAGATTAAATGGGACAAGCCCCACGGCCACCACCCTTCGGGCTGTGGGGACCGTGCAGGTGGGAGGTCACAGCCGTAGGGGCTGCAACCTCAATAAACACGTTGTCATCGAGTCCACCAGCTGGCAGGTGGCTCCTCGGCCCCACTCTTGGCCAAGCCTGGCATGACTCATTTGCTCCAGAAAAGGAGCATAAATAAGCGCCATTGTACCTTGACAAGTTGACAGGGTTGACAAGCTGAGTAAATTCCTGTGTCTGAAGCCGAGGAGGGGAGGTGATTTAGCAGAGCCAGCTGCCATCACCAGAAGAAAATAATTAAGGAAACGCGGCAGTGTGGAGGGAAACCGAGTGTGTGCGGGTCCCTTCTGGAGAAGGGCTCTGTGATCATCGGCCGCCGGAGGAAGCAGCATGTGCCAGAAACACTGAGCCCAGGAAGCTCATGCTGGGGGTGGCTGCCTGAGGGGGTGAAGGGGGCGGCGAAGGGAGGCAGGATCGGGGCTGAGAAGGGGCCCCTGGCAAGGGGCTGAACTCTAAAGGCTCCTGTCTCACAGTCAAGCACTCCCTGACCATACCCCGCCCTCAGGGGTGCAACCACTTCTGCCTGGAGCTTCTCCTCAGCCTCGCGGAAGAGTCTGGAAGGCCTGTTTCAGAGCTCGCCCGCCTCCACACACTTATGCACATAACCTGGGGAATGCTCAGGAAGGCGGACACTCTGCCCTTTGCCCAGGGAAGGGCACACTCCTGTTCTGAGCCCCAAAGGATCAAAGGATAATACTGCGGCAGAAGAAAGATGCAACGCGCCAAGTTCTGCCTTCATTCCCACCTCTCTTGGGACTTGAGAAAGGCCCCAGCGGGCTCAGGGACGGCAGGCTTTCAGTCCAGGGTGACCTCGGGTACCCCCAATTGCTGATAAATGAAGGAGACATGTGGGCACATCCTCAGCCTGACCGTATGAGGCCATGGCCATTGCAGTGGCTGAACCTGTAGAACAACCTCAGAGAAGTGAGTGGAGTTTGGGGGTCAGGGATAGAGGACCTGGACGTCCTCTCACCAGCTGGGCTCCAGCCACTGGACCTCTGCCAAGTCCTCAGAGACGGCAGGGGCAGGGCTGGGCCTCCAGAGCACCCACCCCAGGCAGCGCCAGACTCGTCCCAGTGTGAGGGGAGGTGGTTCTGATGGTGACTGGCTCTGGCAAAGCCTCAGAGCAGGAAGAGCCCCTGAAGTGTCCCTGGCCAAGCAGGGATGGGCAAAGGAAGCCCAGACTCCTAAGTAAGTTCCCCCGAAGGAATCGTCTTCTCCTTCTGGGACATTCCCCAAAACAGACCAAGCCTGCTACGAGGCAGAATCCTCTCCTCTGGCCAAAGGCTCGCCTCCCAGTGCTTGTTGTCCTGGGTGAGCCCAGCCCCAGCCCAGGCAAAGGTGGGCAGAGGGGACACCTGGAGTGTGGCCACTGATACGCTGACCTCTCTCCATCTCCCTACAGTCACAATGAGTGCTCGCTGGACACTCTGTACCTGGGCTCTGCTCGGCCCTTTGGAGGAGGGCGGTGTGTGGTCAGCTCACCCCCAGAGCCCCAGGGCCAGCTGCGAGGCCAACGTCGCAAAGTGGATGGCTCAGTTAGGGAACTTCCCAGAGGGAAGTGGGGGAGACCCCAGTCCAAGGAGAATGAGTGTGTTCCAGTCCCAGGCCAGGTGTGTGCAAAGGTGTGGGTGCAGGTGTGTGGTATTCCAGGTAAGGAGCGTCCACATGGACTACAGCCGGGCAGAGCCAACAGGGCATAGAGCATGGACAGGCCTTTCTGAAGGGGCCTTTCCCCTCTGATTTAGTGACAGTGTGGGCGGGAAGTGGGCTGTGAGGTTTCTGGATGCTCTGCTGGGCAGGTGTGTGGCAGCTTGAGCAGGGCGCTTTTCCAGACCTTCCAGGTCACGCTAGGAGGTAAGACGCCAAGAAGGAGGCATCAGCGGGCAGCCAGGGGACCAGGTCTTTCCTGCGCCCCCATTTCCATGCGGATGGGAGAGAGGGGCACTCACACTGAAGCGCGCCTCTCCCGCGTCCCCCCTGAACTGCCTTTTTATGGCGCCTACCCCGAGTGCCCTCCCTTCGGGGCACCCACAGTCAAGAGCCCATAAGCAGGTCCCTGGGAACTACGTGGTTCTTCCGGAGCTAATACTGTGCTCTCTGTTCGCTTTTCAGGAGTAAAGTTCAACATCAGGCTACAGCAGCCGCGCGACGTGAGTTCTGATAAATCTCAGCAGGGCTGCCTGGGGAAGTTGGCGAGGGCAGGGGAGAAATTTGGAGCGCACATTAAACCCGTTCTTGGAAAGAAAAATGTGTCCGGCCCTTCCCGGGCGCCCTGGGAACAAAGCCCGGGGCCTGGGGCCATGAGTTTCCCTTCCCCATTGGATGGCAGCGTTGGAGTGTGCTAATTGACTCAGTAAATCTGAGCGGCTCCTCCGCCACCGCTGCCAGCCCCGCCCGCCTCGCTCGGCCGCGTTCCTGGGAGGCCTGCGCCATCTGGTGGCCAAAATGACACATGCACCTCGGGCCATGGCCAGCTGAGGGGAAGACCCCAGGGCTGGGCGGAGCTCGGACCAGAGAGGTCACCTCCCGCAGGGCCAGCTACCTCCCTCTCCCTCCTCTTAGACACTCTCCTGTCACGGAGCGGGCAGGGCCTGGGCGTGGCGAGGGCCCGGCCTGTGTGACCCTCAGGGCCAGCTGTCCTGCCCACCCCGGTAACCCTTTCTCTCTGCTCCAGGACTTCCCGCCAGCAGTTCCCAGGATG